AAGTGGTGCGATCAGACATTGTGGATGTCCTTACTTATTTCTTTCAGCGTGGAAGATTCTTAAGAAGCGCTAATGCTACATCTATTAAGGACTTTCGTCCAATTAGTTTAGTGAGTAGGGTATACAAGATTAAAGGAGGTGCTGGGTAAAGTGGTGTCTAAATTTCAGAATGCCTTCGTCAAGGGGAACCAGATTTTGGATTCCGTTTGTATAGCAAATGAATGCATTGATTCAAGAATGCGACTAAGGGTTCCAGGAATGTTATGTAAGCTCGACATTCAGAAGGCTTATAATCACGTTAACTGGGGTTTTGTTTTGTATATGCTCAGGTGATGTGGCTTTGGGGAGAAGTGGCGCCAGTGGATTCAGTTTTGTATCTCTACGGTTTCTTTCTCAGTCATGGTGAATGGCACTCCGGAGGGTTATTTTCATAGTAGTAGAGGATTGAGGCAAAGGGACCCTCTATCCCCATTGCTATTTGTCATTGTAAGGAAAGCCTTCAGTAGGATGCTTGAGAAGGTCGTGGGACAAAGTTTGTAAAGGGGCTTTGTTGTTGAATAGGGACCCTCTATCCCCATTGCTATTTGTCATTGTAAGGAAAGCCTTCAGTAGGATGCTTGAGAAGGTCGTGGGACAAAGTTTGTCAAGGGGCTTTGTTGTTGAGTAGTTGCAGGTTTCTCATTTGTTATTTGTAGATGATACACTGATTTTCTGTGATGCAAATGTTGAGCAATTCAGGAACTTGCGTCGCTTACTCCCGTGCTTTGAAACTGTATCTGGATTGAAAATAAACTTAGGAATATCTGATGCTATCACAGTGGTAGAGTCGATAACGTGGAAGAGTTGGCTGCGATATTAGGTTGCAGGGTGGCGCAATTTCTATGACATATCTCAGGCTTCCTTTAGGAGCACGGTTTAAAAGCATACAAATTTGGAACAGTATTGTGGAAAGGGTGGAGAGAAGGCTAGAGGAATGGAAGAGTATGTACCTCTCAAAAGGAGACCGTCTTACTCTCATAAAGTTGACTTTGTTAAATCTCCCTACTTATTTCTTATCATTGCTTCATATTCATGTTGCAGTGGCAAAACGATTAGAGATGATCCAAATGGAGTTTCTATGGGGAGGATTAGGGGAGGAGAGGAAATTACATTTGGTTAACTGGCGTGTAGTTTGTTCTCCTATTAGATTCGATGGTCTCGGAATGAAAAGTCTAGTATTGTTTAATAAGGTCTTGTTGGGTAAGTGATTATGGCGATTCGGAGTGGAGAGAGAGTTTTTGGAGAGATATTATGGGGGCAAAATATGGTGTTATGGACGGGGGATTGTGCTCAGATGAGATATGCGGTTCTTATGGGGTGAGTTAGTGGCGGTATATTCGGCGAGGGTGGAACGACTTTCGAGATAGATTGACTTTTGTAGTGGGGAATGGTAGTACCATCAGTTTTTGAAATGACTGTTGGTGTGGAGATCAACCGCTTAAATTGGGATTTCCTTCTTTGTATCGTATTGCGTTGGAGCCGTCTGCCATGGTGAATGATGTCTTAAATATTCATAATGGGAGCTCCAGTTGAAACATTGTTTTTGGTCGGGGTTTGCAGAATTGGGAATTGGATGATTATGCAATATTTTTGACATCCTTATACGAGGTGTATATCAGGGCAGGAGAGGATAATTGTAGCAGATGGAGGTTGCACTTATTTTAGATCCTTATTGGGACTTGTAGAGAGTTCATTTTCTTGGAAGATGGTTTGAAAATGTAAACTGCCCCCACGAGTGGCATTTTTACTATGAACAGTGGTCAGAGAACAGGTGTTAACAGTGGATAACCTTCGTACAAAGGGTTTATATATTACAGAGTGGTGCTATATGTGTAAGAGGGATAGGGAGACGATTGACCACTTGTTCCTTCATTGTGATGCTGCTCGTTTACTGTGGAACTATATTTTTGCTTCGCAACACATAGATTAGATGTTGCCGAGGCGTATGGAGGACTTATTAAAGGTACGGAGAAGAAAGTTTCGAGATAAGGATAGCAAACTTGTACGAGACCTTATTCCGGGGTCGCATCGTATGATGTGTGTGGAGAGAAAGAAACGGTTGTTTTGAAGACCAATTACGGACAACAAAACAGATTAGAGAATTGTTTTATTTAACATTGTATACTTGATTTAATGCTGCGACTACTAGGCATATAGACGGGCGGTCTAATTTCATGTTGTTACCTTTTTATTTAAATTTATAATACACTCCCTGTGTATTATGCATTGATTAATAAAATATTTGATTACCTTTAAAAAAAAAAGGAACTTGACCCTTTAATCACAAAAATTATGAACCTTGTTATGAAGTTGTTGAACGGCACAAAGATGAAATCCTTGATAAGTTTGAAATTGAGTTCAATGAAGCTGGTCTTCTTTCGTTGGAATGAAACATTTAATCTCTCGATAATGTATTGTTTTACAATAAAAAGAATGAGCCCTATATATAGGGAACTCATAAAAACCCTAATTAAAATGTAAAACGACAAGAAAATATGGGACAAATAGAGTTATAAACAAAAAAGGAAAAATTAAACCGCCTTCAGATTTTTGTACTACACTGCTCCGTGTATTCTCTTGCTCGTGCACCGTTCAGTTGATTTGGCTACGGCTTGAAATTTTGCACCGCGTACGCGTGCGACCTATTTTTGCCTCCGCCACGTGCAGCTTTCCGGCTACACTCTAGACTTTGCTTCTTCTAACTTAGCTTTAATTAAGTACACTAATCTTGGTTTCTCTTCCATGCTCAACATGAAACTTGGTGTTTGGCTTGCTAACTTAAAACTCATGGCCTCCGTAGTGTGAACAAGTATATGCATGGTTTCGTTGATCCTATTTGCTCGCAATCTCATCTTGGTTCCTCTTCAAGTTGAGTCGAATCTTTGTAAGTTTGTTGCTCTCCATGGATCCTATCATTCATGTTAACACAATCAATATTCCAATTATTATTTCCTTAAAAATAAGCTAGCAACGCAAGTCTCACGACAATAAAGTATATTTTTAAAGATAACTTTTGCACTCCATTGCATCACGAGGACCAAAATCATCTCCAAACATATCATGTGAGCCAAAAGAATGACAGGAGATGATAGATGGAGATGACGAAAACAGTGAAACAAAAAAGGAAGATATAACTGCGACAATTGAAATCCACACTCCGTTTGTAGAAGATCCACTCAACTCTTTCTTGGTGCAAAATGGGGAAAACAGACGATGCATGTGGAAAGGACATTCAAACCCAGCCTATCCATCATGTAACTCATAAAAAATTTAAATTTTCTCAATATTCTATAGCTGTATTTATTTAATATGAAAAAACTGCTATAATATGCGAGAACACGCTGATGTTTAACTCATTGCTTCTCATAAAAGTAAGAAAAGTAAAAAATAAGATATATACGGAGGTTTAATGAGAAGAGGACTCACTGAGCAAATGCTACAAATGTTTGCCTCAAATTTCCTTGTTTCAACATCGCGATCCAACTGTTGTTTCCAGTCTAATAGTCCTGTCTCATCCTATAAGATTCAAGCAACAGTGAGTTCTTGCGGCTAACAATAACAAAAGACGTATAAAATATAAACCAACTTAAATTTACCTGAGGAATCTGTATAGGCACATTCTTTGGAAAAAGACAGTTGAGCTGCTTCATTGTCTTTGGTGTCTCATTACTTCTATCGTGCAGTCTACCAAAATTGTCCTAGAAAAAAGACAAATATCTGTCAAATTTAGGCTTCAAATCAGTCATTTCATTGTAACCTGGTTGCGTGTGCATGCTTCATATGACAGGTGTTTTGACTCATTGCAAAAAAAAGGGGTATAGTCATGCACTTGGAATACTATATGCCTCAGCCACTCCTCTCAACGTACTCACACTCATTATGAAGTTAACAGTATGAACAATGAGAATCCAAGCAAACTGATGTGTGGTAGGACGATGAAAAGGAATAATACTCTTTCCGGAGCATTCCTATTTTTTCCATCAGGAAATAGATGAAACCATACACATCTAAGAGAGGAGCCATATCGAGGAGGTCCACCACATTTAAGAATAAACAAAATCAACTCAGAACCTGAGTATTAAGTTGATTGAATGCTTCACAAGTTTATATAACTGAAAATCACATAAAGAAAAAGCAAAGCAGGAGCAGAAAGGAATTCATGCAGACATTCAGAGAAAAACCATGAGCCCTGAATGCACATATAGTAACACACGTCCTCAACCGTCCAACATGGACCCAAAAATATCATTAACAGAGAAAAAACAATAGAAAGAGAAAATTAAAGGTAAAAATCTACTTCCATTAGAAAAACTAAAAATAAAAATATGAAAAATTAGAACACAAGAAAGGAATGTAAGCTACACGATGAGTTTACTTAATTGGACATACCTGGAAGGCAGGGTCAACCAATGCCTTTGGATTGCTTCTAAATTTGGTAAACAGCAATCCACCAGGATGGAACTGAAACATACATTTATTACGGAGTGTGTTCTGCATAATCATGTGTGCACACATATACACGTAAACGGTTCGGAATAAAAACCAATACAACTAGAACTTACTTTATCCTTTCGGTTGTCAGTTTGAGTATGCGAAGCTACGGCAACATGTTCTGGTAAAGTTTTAAGCTTAATTTTAAAGATCGCATATGCCTCGGTATTACCTGAGGTCACTACCTCCAGGAATTGTTCCATCAAATCTAACCCCGATTTTAGAAGAGCCATTTTCCTTAAAAGTAAGTACCAACTTCCTTTTGTAACCATATGTTGGATACAAAATCTCAAGCACGAAAATGCATGAATTTCAACCTCGATGTGATAATGAATCATATGTTAAAGCAATTAGTGCAGCATTTTAACCTTATACCCTCTATCATTTCATTCATCGCCAAATATAAAATTTATCATAGGACTTGGGTTCAAAAACATCATGACCTCCAGCTTCACCAATATTTATCATTTGAACAGACACAAAATCGAACCCAAGTATTATAGTAACCTTGTGGCAGTTGTAAATGAGAACATGCTTACTATGACAAGGAACTGCTACAAATCAGGCACCCCAAGGCAGCAGAATTATACAAATAAGAGCAAGAACATAGGTAACGATACAATATATTCCAAGTTCCACTGAATATTCAGGATCAGACTCAAGAGTGCGCTCCCTGTAGGTCCCACACACATGCTTTGTAAAACAAAAGGTGAAAGTAAGTACACGTCGAAGAAAAGATTACGAGATCCACCTGATGTCCAAACAACAAACAAAAAGAAAGACCACTGAAGCCATTAGAAGTCTTAAAATAAATGCCTGATACCAACAATATTGCTACCAATGGCAGGGCTTAGAAGCCATCTATAGTCGAGCAAACTTCTGGCATTTTAGGGCAGTTACAGATTATACATTGATGTAGTATCAATTGAAGTATTCAGCAGAAGGGAAGATGAAGAAGAAGAGCATAGAAGCAGCAAAAGATGAAGAAGAAGGAGAAGAATCAGGGAGAAAGGGGAAAGACGTGTGCATCAAGCACTTTCATTCATTCATAGTCTGGCTTCCAACTTTCAAAACAAGCCAACTATTACAAAAATTACAACCCTAAAGTAAAGGGGACATGGGCCAGCCCATTAATACAACCAAATTTAAACTAAATGAGGCATAAACATAAATAGCCCAAAACAAAGCTAGGAGATGATGTTCTCATCAACATTACATCCACTTGTCGACTCTGTCGTCTTTAGCTCTTTAGATTGAAATTCGATCCAATTCATAATCACACGGGTTTGCTCTTCATCATCTGCAACAAGGTCTGCCACCTTGGCAAAAGCTTGACACATTTTGTCATATCTCAACTGTCTAGGAGTACCGTAAATGACTGCAACCCTCGTGTGGGCTCTACTAACATCTCTCCTCCATCTCCTCAATATATACCTCTCCGGCAGCGATGTGACGTCATTACGGATCAAGACAGAGATCGCATGCCTGCAAATTATTCCTCGAAACTCGAATAAATGGCAACTGCAAATAATGTCACAATTCTCTCTCTGAAATGAGACCGAAAATATTCTTTTCATAACTCGCTCGTCATATATGACATCCTCTCGTACCTCGTACGTTGTCCCCAAAAATCCCTCTGAAGCAGATATGACCTCGCAATAAATCTTTCCAGTGAACTCATCTTGAAATTCCTTAAATTTTGAAATGGTGTAAACTGCCTGAAATTGCTTCTCCATTTCATACTTTGTTACACACGGTACCATTTGCAAGTATGACTTGAAATCCGCTTGAAACTCTTTCTCAACTTTATTCCTTAATGCTCGTTCATACTGTTCGACAAACTGCTTCAATGAGCTATTCGGATGCAAATACCCATCGAAGAACGAATCTATACTCTCATTGCGTTGAGTTGTTGACATTCCTGCCCAAAAAGTGGTTTTCAAAAAGCAAGGAACCCAACGATCTCTGTTCTCGTACAATCCCGACAACCAATCATTGTCGTGCAAGTCATACGTATCGATCATCGCTCTCCAACCTTCTTCAAACTCTTCAGCAAATTGTGAATCATACACCAATTCATGTATAACCGAAAATATCGAACTCCTATCCACGTGGTAGCCAAACTTTTCTGACAACTTCCTCAATATGTACCACAAACACCATCTATGCTTCGAATTCGGAAACACGGTCTGAATTGCATTTTGCATGGCACTGTCTTGATCGGTAATTATTCCATGAGGGGCTTGACCCTGCATGCACTGAAGCCATGTTCTAAACAACCACACAAAAGTATCTGTATCCTCATTTGATACCAAACCACATCCAAGCAGTGTTAATTGTCCGTGGTGATTCACTCCAACAAAAGAGACGAAAGGCATGTCGTACCTATTAGTGAGATAAGTGATATCAAAGGTGACAACATCACCGAACTCTTTATATGCTTGCCTACTTCTATTATCTACCCAAAATACATTCTTTAGCCGCAACTCTTCGTCGAAATCCATACTAAAATAAAATTCTGAGCATTGTGCTTGCATTTTTGAAAAGTAGGATTGTATTGCTGCAGCATCTCCTTCTCCAAGTCGTAATTGCCTCACTTGTTCAATATAGTTTCGGCAATCCTTTTTCACACAAGTCATATCCTCATATCCACTTGTTTCAAGAACTATAGAGTTGTCACTTTTGTGCAACGGATTTTTTGTCGTAGCATTCACTTTAAGCCTTCGTTTCACATGTGCACTCAATTCTCGATTGCATCGATACAACCTGGACTTGAAATGACTTATTTTATGATTGTGGTCAAGATGGACTGTGTTAATTCTCCATGTTCCATCAATATCTGTAGATGCAGTCAACCTAGCTTTACAACCCGTTGGAATGGTTGCTTGCGGCTTCTTAATGCTTCTTCGACCTTCATGGCTACATGTCAATGTGACATACCTCACAACTCCATCATCCCCCTTTTTGGAATTTCTTTTCCTAACTGGAAAACCTATGTTATAAGCATATTTTTTGTAAAAGTCAAATATTTCTTTTTCATCCTTGAACTTCATACCCACCTCAGGAACAATCCCACCATCTCCTCCTAATATTTCACCTTCCACTATGTTCATATTGTCCATGACGTTCTCATTATTGGATTCTACCAAAAATTCGCCATCCACGTCTTCCAAAATTTCTTTTGCTGCAACAAAATATGAGTTAACTTTCAGTAAAACAAGAACCAATTACGCAACAAAAACTAATACAGAAACTCATTCAAGATTGATATAAAATAATCATTCACGGTGATTTATAACATTAGAGGCACAGGGTAATGTACATTTTGTCTCTGAAAATGGAAGTATGATTAAGATGAGCATGAGTTCTTAAGCTTTTAATAAATATTTGAGCTTAAAAGCCATGTGACGTTATTCCTATGGTCACACAGAAATAAAAACACCATAAATCCTTTTTAGACATTAGAACCATTAATGTTTTGATTTTGCAAGTGTAACAGAATCATTACATTAACTACATATTAACAAGTTGCAACTCTGACAGATTCAGAAACTAAACCAGGATGGAAAAATAGTCTCTTCGATACCTGCCAACGCCACGACTGAATGAAGATGGGCTAAGCGCAGGTGGTTTGAAGATGGATTAGAGGTCCGGCGTCAATTTCAGTGTGACTTCGGTTGAAGTGTGGGCTTTGGGATTTAAAATGCGGCCGGAGTGCGGCGCCGGTGGGTGTAGTCGCGGCTGGGGTTTCAATCTCTAAATTGGGGGAAATTGGAAAATGTAACGCGATAAGGGAATGGGCCGGTTTTACGATTCAATTTTTTTCTTTTTCTTTTCTTCTTTTTTTTTTAAATTCAAACTAAACACGTCAGCACCACAAAAATTCTTCTGTCAACCTCTTGTAAGTTGTAATCACGGTGTAAAAGTGGCAAAGTCCAATAGTGATGCTACTTGTACAAAATTAAGTTATAAAATATGTGTGGCAATATCTTGACCAATGATTTAATAAACAACTTTCTGAAATCAATGACCTAGATTTTGCCACATCATTTTGTCAACGCACTTTTGTAAACCATCTTTGTACAACTAGCATAATTGAAAGCGCAATTATAGTTTCTTATTTTTAAATGTTTGTGCATTTCATTTCCACTTTTCAGTGTGTGCCAGCAACCAATATATATGCAAATTTGTATTTCACAGTTTGATAGAAAAAAACGGAGGTCAAATTTAGTGTTTTGTTTGTTAAGCACGTGTTTGATCCCTAGACATGCGATTTAATGTGCATTTTGAAATATTTACTTGGTGATGATGAGGAATTAGGATTCTCTTGACATGTTTTCTCGTCGACATATTTGTGTGCAATTTGATAATTAATGAGCTTGTTGAAAATTTGTGTGCATTTTTAAGTACCTCCATACATATTTTTTCTCATCGAATTAAGATATTTAGTTTAACGATAACGGATGCAGCTATTGATACAACGACTTCATCTGAAGTTGTCTAATGAGGCGATTTAGAAGGATATCCTCGTGTACAAAGATTGACTAATGAAGATGAGCCGATTTTAATAGATATGTCAAAATATTTGGTAAAACCTTGGAAGATATTGATGACTCTGAAAGAATAGGATCAAAATAATGTTAGAATAGTGATGACTCGTGCAAGGCTTAGTTTGATTAAGAAGACAAAAAAAGTACAAATGCAACGGTTAATGAACAAGTTAAAAGAACACAATTATATTGAATGGCATATGTCTCATGAATTATTGGGGGTGAAAAATAAAAAACTTGCAATGCGTCAACACGAATAGAAATGAAAAGTGGAAAGAGAAAAAGCAGTATGTCTCAGCCATATATGTAATGCATCCATGTCTTTAGAGTTCCATATCCCTTTAGTCAATCGACTTTTTATTTTGGCTAAACTGTTTTTGGGATGAGAAGTTCCATATTCCCTTAGCCTACCCCATGGCATTTTTAGAGTTTTGAGTTAAGGATAATGATATGATTGAAGTCGATATAATAGAGAAAGTCAAAATTTAGGCTAAAAGGATTGCCTACAACGAGATCATTTTTGGGCTGATACTGAATTAAATGACAAGTAATATTGGGAGGATGAGTACACCACAATATTGTATTTTATTTTAAATTTTTAGTATTTATTTTATTAGGAACATAATTGTAAATTTGTTATGGCGTATTTACTGAAAATATATTTTAATTGTGGTGTGATTATAGCGTGATATAGTAATTAAATTTTGTGACGATGATATAATTACTCTATTATTTTCTCCTCATTCTCCTTTTTTTAATATTACAAAGATACACAAGTTACTATTTACGTTAGTTTCTTATGTGTAATTCTTTTCATATCTCCACAATTTAAATGCAAGAAATTCTTTTGCAAAAATTAAAAATAAATGTTTTTTATTTATTTTTTTTTAAATGGCACTTTTCGAAAATGTAACAAAACTTGTCCTTCTGTCCAGTTTGACCATTAAAGTTATGTAAAATTATGAATTTGTCCCATTTTTTAAATAAATGATAATAAAAATTATGTTTCACATATCCATTTCCATTCCATTGATCCATTTACAAAGCAAAGAAATCATCATTCTTTGGTCAGCTCTAAATTGAACAAAAATATATTTGGCAACTTTAATACAAAAATTCTCTCTTTTCAGATAGCTCATCAATAATCATGACGAACTTTACTTGACTTTTAATGGTAATTGATAAGGTTGTCGTACTTCATTAACATGCTAATATAAAAGATGAATGAAAAACAAGACATTACAAAATATTCGCGACGCTAATTAGAAATACGTTGTGAAATAGGTCAAATCGGCAAAAAACGGGACATGTATGGGAGTGAGCCATTTGACTTAACGATTGTTTTGATTGTTTATTTGTTTTTTCGAAGTGACCGTGCATACCATGTCTTTCTAGATAAAATGACTCACCATATTTCAATCACTCATGACTTGAGCAGCGTCTTAATTCGGGATAGCTTCATCTTAACTTGAGATATTGTAATAAGATATTTCTTCTTCAATCCAAGAAAACCTAAAAAAAAAAAAGAGTACCAAAAATAAGTTCCAAATAAAGAGTATAGTAATAAGCTTGGGATTGCAGTAAGAAAGGAAAAACCAAAAAAAATAAATTGGCCACCCATTGAAGATGAGAAACAAAAGGGCTGTAAATAAACACATGTATTAACAAACAAAAAACTCTTTAGAAACCCAATCCAAACACTTTCATCTGCACACAACCAAACAAAAATTCTATATCCCATAAAAATGACAGAACCAATGGAAAATCACAGCTCAAATTGGGAGTCCAAGCTTGTGAAATTTGCCCTTTGGCATTTTCTAAGTATTTATATTTTATCCCTCAATTTATTTAAAATTTAAATTACAAATTTACAAGATATTACTTATTTCTTCGACGTGACGTGTAATTTCATAATTAACACATTCTGGATGTTGCATAAAACCTCTACAATTTGGAAGACAAGTAAAATGTTCCTCGTTTACACTCAAAGTGTCCAGGTATTCTTGTCCCTCAACTCGATTAATTCTTTTAAGGAAATAGAGTATTAATATTTTTTCACGTCGCATATATAAGAAAAACTTAGGGTTCGTTTGATTGCGAATGTGGAAAATGGGTGGAAAGAAAATGAATTCTAGGGAATTGAATTGTCTATAAATTATTTTACTTGAAATTGTAATTAATTATGTTTGATTGGTATAATTTTCCACCTGAAAAATGTTGAAAGTTTGGTATTCATTTGCCTTTATTTTTCATGGAAATTGTCCATTAGAGTAATAATTTCTTTTACAATTGGGTCTAGAATTTGTTTCACTTGCAAAAAATTAAAAAAATTAAAAAAATTATCATACTGAATACCATTCGTTTGGCTTTGTTTAGCATGAAAATTGTAAATAAAAGTGATAATTTTTTTTTTACTATTGTGTCTATAATTTTTCCCAATTTCCCAAAAAAAGCTGAAAAAACAAAAACCACAAAAACAAAAGAAAAACAAATTCATCTATTTGAAGGAAAAGAGGCGCGTGAGATGGCGGCTAGGAAAATTTTTTCCAAGTAAAATTTTTGCAATCAAACAGGTAAAAAGTTCCATTTTCTATGGAAAATTATTGATACCAAACAGGGCCTTATTGTATTTTCTTGACAGAAACAAAAAAAAATAAAATTAAAGTAATTATAAAAGAAGAAGGAGTCGACAAAATTAATAATTCAATAGAACTACATCCTTATGAACCCTCGTATCGTAACATCAAATTACTGTGAGAATTATATATTACTTTCTTGTTTTCTTTTTAGTTATGGGTGGTTATATTGCCGCCACAATTTTTATTCGATACACCACACTTTGCTCATAGTTAAGTTAAGTTCCTCAATCTTTGCTCAATATAACAATTATTTCTTTAACTTTTTTTTCCCGTTAAATTCTTATCTTCAACCTTTTATTTATTAGTACATATCTTCCTTAATGAAAATTTATATTAAAATATTTGGTTTTAATGTTTTGAAATGAGGGATAAATATTTTTTTTTGTACTTTTTATTTATTTATTTTTAAAAATATAAAGGAAAAATAAGTATTTTATGTCGTTTCAACGAATTTTTGGACATAAAATTGTTATCAAATATTAAATATGTTAACTAATAGAAAGTTTGAAGATAAAAATGACATGAAAAATTGTTAGTAATATAAGTTTCATAATAAATATAGATTGTTAGAGCTCAATTTTTTTGAAAATTCATTTTTTCAAAACTCATTTTTAATCACGTATTCTTCAATAAAAAATATTACTCGAAAATTGTTTTTTTTTAAATTTTTAACCACAAATTGTCCAAAAATTACTATTAAAAAATACAATTTTCTCTCGACACGAGGCTCAAACAAGGGCTAAGAACCTTAATTCCAATTAAAAGATGTGCAAGAAATAAAAATTGTTGTGGTAATATTATCCTTTAATTGTTTGTACAAAATATCTCCGAAAGGTGTATATAGCAATGTACTAAAATGCGTAATGCGTTGCGATGCGTCGAGGTCGAGAATCAAGAATCACAAGTTTAAGCGTGTCAATGAGAAGAATAAGCGTCATAATGCGTTTCGTATTTTTAATATTATTTTTAAGACATTAAATATATTTTTATATAAAAAAATAGATTTTTTAACTTAAAAAATGATAAATTTTTACATTTAAGCCCATGATCGTTTTAGCCATCCAAATGGGTGGGTTCATTAGTAAATAGGCCTCTCCAATATCTTTAGCAAAATGGGCCTCTCCAATGTCGTTGATACAAAAGCAAAATTGCAATGTCTTTAGCAAAATTGCAATCCTGCTTCTCCAATCTTGGGTGATTTGGGTTCCATTAATCTCCAAATTAGGACCACTAAATCGTCCACGTCATACACATCCAGTTATGTTGTGATTTGGGTTCGTTGATACAAAAGCAAGCCCCTCAAGATTGCAACCAGATTTTTCGCCCGATTTTTGTTCTGCCCCAGATTCACTTTGATTCCTTGGATTTGAATGGCTGCAGGAGAGAAATCGAATCCACTCCCGGTGGATGCTCCAACCGATACCACCCCTGTCCAACTCATTGTGAAGGTGGAGGACCGCTTCAGCAGCGGCAGTGACGGAAGTTCAGTGGTCGATGATCAGGAAGGTCCACAACTTGTGGACAGTGGGGATTCCTATTTTTCGAACAATTATTACATGGGTTGTGTGGCCACAGGGGTAGAGGGTATTCAATCTAAGGAGGAGGATGGCAGTGACGATGGTGGCCGCTATTTCTCGAATTTGTTAGTGGAGCACGAAGGGCAGCAGCAGGAGGAGGAGGTTGAGCAATTGGGCTGGTGCCTGGTATATTAATTTGCAGCAGCAGTGAGGAGGAGGAGGAAGCACTGTGAAGAACAACTCAAACATTGATATCAATTGGAATCCCACATCGGAATCCCACAGAGGAAGCACCAGAAATGATGTCTATAAATAAATGGGCCAACAATGGCTAAGTATGCTTCCTGGGCCTGCCTTTTAGTGGGTTGGAAGTTGGTATATTTAATTAAAAGTAAATTTTTAAAAATATATAATTAAATAAAAAAATGAAAAATGCGTGCATTATTGAGTGTAGGCGTGAGTTTCAGTGGTCAATGTGGGTGTTGACCGCATTTGTTCACGCATA